GTTTAATAGACTTTTCAGTTAATGAATTCTTTTTATGGCACGGATTGTGCCATAAGAATGATACCACATACGTTATTGATCACTCATATTCACCATATAGTTCCACATGAGTGGTCATTCAAAAACTCTACCAATGGAGCACTTCGTAATCGATATATGCCTCAGAATCTCATTACTCGATTTTTGCGTGATTCAAACGAATACAACCTCTTTCTCTCATCATTTCATCTGGTAAACTCCAGTGAATTTATCAAGACATTGATAAGAAATAAAATTTCACCGACGAAAAATCAAAACGAACCGTTCACAAGTAAAACCGTGGAAAACAATAGTTGAGCTTAATGGTGTGCCAATTACTTAAAGATTATCAAATGCAAATAAGCAGTGGGTTTAATTTGTCCAATGTGAAATGTAACAATGCCAGAATGAAATAATGTATGGCTAACTCAGGAGCTTTAGCGAATAATAAAAATCAAAAATACGAAAAGTGCACAACTCTTTGCATAAAGTTCAATTCAACTGAAATACTTTCAATATAAATTGAAAATATAAAATTTCATCATTGAATACAAAAAAACACTTGATGAACGTTGGAAATACATCGTTTACGTTAAAAGAAACAAATGCTACTTTATGCAAAATACAGATTTAGTTAGACGTGCAGCACAGCTGCTTTTTTCTCTTCAACACATACATTTGCATACATTTGATGATGATGCTGTAAACTTGGTAACGTGCACACAAACGCAATCGGAATTACGTTCAATATGAAAATTAACGCATAAGTCTGTACAAGATAATATTTACAAAACCATTCTTTTGAAAAAAAAGTGTTTCGTTCTCAAATTATATCAAGTGATCTGAGCAGATGACTCTGTCGACGAGTATCGAGAGTATTAAAAACCTTCACCACCATATCTTCAAATTCGGTCTGAGCCAGCTGACTGCGTTCAACCAGAGTCGACTTTGCTTTTTTGAGCAATTGAAGAGGGCTTTCAATGGACTGATCAACTGGCCATGAACGACGTCGAACGGCTTCTGTGGCACGGTGCGGTTTCGGTTGAAATGACAGCCTGTAAAAATCTCGAGCTGCACCGGAAAGTGTCATCTGAGATAAACTATGCCGCCATCAGAACGGAAAAACATGATCCACTCTCTTTAAATGAACTCCATGAAATAAAGAAGGATTACTTCACCACTATTAGAACCGGAGTTCTGAAAACGAATGATGACACGTAAAACATCGATGACAGAAAAACGGAATAATAGATGAGAACGATGAACCATAATAGCTCGAAACCAAACATGCTTCCAGATCATTCTACTTCCAGATCACATAGCTAGCGAATTATACCTTGTTTTGCTCGACAAATCATGACTGGAACATTTGTTCTTGTAGTAACGATGAGTTTTGTTCGAATTCAGTTCCAGTGTTGATTTTATCAAAGACTCGTTGTGCAACTCGAATTCCGATTTGCGTGATGGCTTCTAAAGCAATGATTCTCTCTAGTGAAATCATTTGAGCAATTGCAGTTAGTAATTCAATGTGTTCACATTAAATTCAAATTAAAAGGAAGTTGAATAGTCGCAAGACCTTTCCGAAACGATGTCAGCTGATGGTTACCTCTTTAATATGTTCGAGTAACAGCTATAAACAATTAAACTGTCGTTGAATGTTGCGCTTTTATTCATAAAAAGGTCGAACCAGAAGATGACCCTGCTGACATCTCCCTGAGCGACATCCTCCACTTCGTTTCAGTTTGTCACACATTAAGCTTTTTTGCAGTCGCGCAAACAACAAAATTGAATGTGTAAGCATGTGATACCTTTTTCTTAGACGATGAATGCAGCCGAAAGGAACGAATCCAAAGAGGTTTCGAGCATGAAGATAGCGAACTGGCTTTAGGCGCCGATGTGGTATGGGCTTCGAATGAGTCATTTTTGAATTTGTTGACGTACACCTTAAATTGCAAATAAAATCGATGAACTTTGAGGCATTGTAGCCTTAGAATTATGAATTGATTTCGTTAATAGTCCGAAAAACTTTTCTTTTAATGTTCAGCTATTTTTAGAGCCTGAAATTATGAAATCAAATTTTTTGCGATCCAGTGTTTCT